AGTGGCCAGGAAGAATGAATTTGTTCTGCAGAGCTCCACCTTGTTGGGATGGTAGTGTGCGCCTCTCACTGCACACCTCTGGCACCTCTGTTTCCAATTTCCTAGCATGTCCTAGGACCCATTGGCCCCGGGCTCTGACTTGAGACTCTTCATTATACTTTGGTATCCCTCAGAGCTGGTATGGATCCTCTGTTTCCTTCCAGGCTGAGGTAGCCCAGCTGCAAGAGCAGGTGGCCCTGAAGGATGCAGAAATTGAGCGTCTGCACAGCCAGCTCTCCCGGGCTGCAGCTCTCCATGGTGACCATGCAGAAAAAGGTAACTGGTTTGACTGTGGCAGATTGCAGTTGCCCCTGAGCCCTGTGCCCTTTCCTATAAGTGGGCATGGGTGTCTATGAGTACGAGTATGCTTGTGTGAGTAGGTGTGCTAATGTGCATGTAAGTGCATGTATGTGTGCAAACACATACATAAGTCCAAGTGAATGGACGTATGCGTGTGTGTGCATGAGTGGGCCTATAAAGCACAGCTCCATCATGGAACCACTGCCATGAACCCTCCCCGGGCCAGAAGACCCAGCTCTGAAGGCTTTTCTCAGATGAGTCTGATCATTAAAGCTCTTCGCAGCTACCTCTGGAACTTTAGACCTTCACTTAACTGAAAGGACTTGTTTTTGTGTCATCACCGAAGAGGAGGCTTTAGCAATTCATTCAGTCATTTAATGGATACCTGATACTCGTACAAGGCCCTAAGGTACAGAAACAGATCAGTTATTTCTTATCCTTTGGAGCTCAACTTAAATGTTACCTCTCAGAAAGACCTTTGCTGGTCACTCTACCTCATGTAGATGCCCCCAATCCTATTTTTCTCTAAGTCAGTGTTCTTTTTGTTTTCTTCATAACATTTATTATAACTTGTCAGTGTTGTATTTGGTGGTGGTGGTTGGGGGGGGGTCTCTTTATTTAGACTGTCATCCTTACCCTGGACTATGTCTGTTTTGTTTAAGTCCATATCTGCAGCGCCTAGCAGAGTGTTCGGCCCATGGTGGGCTCCTAAGAAATACTTACTGAATAAGTGACAGGATGGTGAATGGTCCCTGAAGAGTTCACATCTTGCTGGTTAAAACTAGAGGATAAATCCTCTTATTACCACATATTTAGTATTTATGGCTATTTGCCTTGTATACAAAATGATCACATCTTCCAACTTTTCCTCTTACCTCAGGTTGCAGAGCAATGCTTGGGGGAGATCATATAGTCCAATGGATTGGCCCTATTACCTAGTATCATCTTGGCCTCAGCACTGCTTAGCTCGTTAGCTCAGATTCCTGGCTACAGGGGAAGCCATGTAGCCATGAAACAGTGGCTTAGGCCACCAATATGCTAATGCCTTCCCCAACCTTTCTCTTCCCAAGTCGTTGGGTATGTCGTGGAAAGCCTACCTGCGAAGCCTAAGGTGGAGGCTGGTTCCCCCCTGAAATACCGTAGACTACCTGTGATGCTAAACCTGGACAGAGACCTCCCTGATCCATGACGTCTAGACCAGGAAGCCCTCCCCACAGTTTAAGCCTTCCAGACCCTACCCCATTCCATCATCAGGTACCCCCTGGAGATGGTCCTTTGGTCACTTGCTGCTCAGGTTGGGTCCTGCCCAAAGCATCAAGGTGTGCCAGCATGCATATGGGGCTACTGCCCTCCTCCACCAACTGGGTTGCAGAGCTGAACTTCAGCTGCCAAGAACCTAAGTTAATGAGCAAGCACTCTGCACTTTCCTCTGAGAATGAATCCTTACAGCTGTTTACACAAAGTCTGTAAATCTCTTCTTATTCTTGTTGGTTGTAGCAAGCACCCTAAAAGGAAATGGGTTGCCTACACTTTTGTTTCCTTGTCCCCTTTACTTTTCTTATATAGACACTCCTATTCTCTTTGCAGTACCCATTTTGAGGATGGGTGTAGGTCCTTGCTTGGAAAATCTCACTATGTGACAGTTCCTAGATCTATAAATATTTGGCAGAATGACCTCCAGCTGCTTTAGGCATTGGCCTTTGGCCTGGCTCTCCAGACCAGTTTGGGAAGAAGTCAAAAGAGTCCCTGTTGGTTCCAAAGAGAGAGAAGGCTGTGAACTGTCCACCACAAACTGAAACAGATCCCTCAGCCCATAGGGAAACACCAAAAATTATGATAAAATAAGATTGTTTTCCTTAGCAGTATTGTTTGTTTTCATATATTTATAGATGCACCTAAACGTTTGTTAGTCAATTCCGACTAGACCATTTTAAATTAAGCCAAATACTCTTTTATATAATCATTCTTTTCTAGTCTCCATTTAACTGTAAGCCTTTTTTCTTCATTTTAAATTATCTGCTACAATCCATGGGACTGGATGCTTTTCTCCAAAACTAGTTGCATCCCATGTACATGCCTACTTAAGTTATAACAGATAAAGGTCTATATTCTTGTGAGATGTTAGTTGTGAAAGATTTTGGGGTTCCTCTGTGTCACCTATGAGTAAATGACCTTTTGTTTTCTTCCCACAAATGTCTATAAAGAGAAGACAAAATGATAGGTTCATTCATTTATTAGTCCAACAAATATTTAATGAGTCTGACTATGCCAGACCCCATCATGGGTTCTTTAAAGAAGTAAAGAAGCCCATGTGTAATTTATTCACATGGAAAGTCCTCAGGTTTGGACTTTGGACTTGAGGAGCATCTTAGCATGTGGGGATAGCTGCCTGAATTTACATAAATAATTCTTCCTACATCTAAATTCTTTTAGACCAAGAAATTCAACGTCTGAAAATGGGGATGGAAACTTTGGTTGTTGCCAATGAAGATAAGGTAAGACAGCCACTGGGAGGTTCTGTCTTACCCCTGCTGACATTCCTGCCTCCGTTTGGTCCCTGCTGGTCTCTGATATTTTGGACATGGCCATGCCCATCAGGCCACTGACTCAGGGAATTGTTAGGAGAATGGCTTCTGCCTCCTAGAGACTGGACCTCAGCCACCTGTTTTTGGCTTTGATGTCTGGGAATTTTGCCCAAATGGACTCTCCCAAAGGCAGATTAAAGCCATGCCTGCTCGTTGCTGGTGTGGGGAAAAAAATACCACCATGTCACTGCCAATGTCATAGCTACTGCTTAGACTCTTAGCAAAACTTGAGAATGGTCCACCAGGCTCCCACATGCATGATCCAGTGATAGACCCATTATAGAGACACCAGGCAGTCTGCTGTTTACCCCGTCGTCTTATATTCTTCACATCTAATTCCTGCATAATCATAAAATAACCACCTCTATTAATATAGAGTACCCACCTGGCACAAACATCAGGTCGGTGGATCACAGTCCTGTTTTTTACAGATGAGGAAACAGACTCAAAGTTCTCAAGTAGTTTTGCCCCAGGTCAGGTAACAGTAGATAGCAGAGCTAGTGTTCACACCCAAGTTTGTCCTACTTCAGATTCTTTATGGCCTCCCAAGTCCCTCGGCCTTTGCTGCAAGAAATAATCGCTCTGGGAATGTTCTCTGTTGTCTAAGGAACTTCAGACTCCTAAGGAACTGGCAGCGATATTGGGATAAATAGACAGCTTTATTTTAGTCTTGGATGACATTTGGACCAGGAGGTTGATTTTAATGGTTACCTCGGGAAGATGGGGAGACAGTGAGTTTCCTGCATCTGGAAATGTTTAAGCCCATCAAAGGCTATGTCAAGCAGGGATTGTTTATGGTTAGAGATTGGACTCAGCCTTCAGGAAGAGGCAAGAGTGCCTACAGCTGCTTAGGAGGCAGATCACTGAGAACCCAGGCTCTGCGAAGGGGCCTGGAGACCGTGTTTCCCTTTGGAATGTTCCATAGATTCCACGTGGCATCTCTTCTCAGGGCGCCCAGAACATAGTGTGGGCCCCCAAATGAACTCACCAGTGGCGGTGTTTACATATACGTCTGCTCTCGCACTGTGACAGAACCGCCGGATAGAGGAGCTCACAGGGCTGCTAAACCAGTACCGAAGGGTGAAGGAGATTGTGTTGGCAACTCAAGGTAAGCGCAAGGGGGACCCCACTGTTCTCTCCCAAAGGCATTCTAGCTACTGTGTTAAATTCAGGGCCACGCCTGCCAGGACATTCCTCTTCATTTGGAGAAGGCTGCTGGAGAACAGAGCCGGGTAGACTGTCCTGAACTGTGGGACATGGGCAGCTATTAAGAGCTCCAGAAAGTTTGTCAAATGGCACGCTCAGTTCAGAGCTCCCAGGGACCATCCTGATCACCAAGAAAATAAAGCCTTCAACTTGAGCCCTTGGGCACCCCCACGCGTGGAGGCTCTCCTATGCCTCTTCCCCGGATACCCCTTAGAGCCCGTGAGTGCAGTCAAACATGGATCAAAAATCAGTTCAGTGCCCTCATTGTCTACCTCCTGGAGAATCTAAAAGCTCCTGAGCAGACCCCCAGGGAAATGGGGGCGGGGGCTTCTCTGAGTCTCTGTGTGCCTGGGTTCCCACAGGAAGTCACAGGGCAGGGAGAGCTGTTTGCATTTCCTGTTTGCTGCCTAGGCTGAATGCAACGTGCAGGCAGCTTTCATGTTCTTACGGGCACAGTGGGGCATGAGGCAGGCTGCCTGCCTTGCTGTTCACACAATTGATCTGGGCTCCCTCCCAGCACAGATCCCGAGTAAGCAGCTGTTTCACATGAGAGGGCTGCTTGGAGGGTATTCAGGAGCCCCAGACTCTGGCTGAGCTGCTGCATGGGCTTGGGAGAAAGCCGAGCCCCTAACTGGGCTGTGGCTGACTGGTCGCTGCCTAGGGCCGCTGCCAGCCCCTGCACACATTGCAGCCCTGTTTTCTCTAATCCTTTGGGATCTTGGGTCAAATCACTCTTGGGGCCTGATTGCCTGTGGCCAAGGAGTGAGAAGGTTGGAGAAGAATACTATGGGGCGCCTTCTCTCTGTTCCACGTGTGAGTTTTGACCTTTGACCTTGAGATGACCCTCATAGCAGCCCCAGCTCAGATGCTCTGAAGAGTGTGTCCAGTCACACTCTTAATGTCCCTTTACATATTTCTTAGTCTTTCTTCATGAAGGAAAAACAGTGTTAGAATTTTGAGGTATAATTATAGGTTTCTGAACAAATCACACAGTAGTAATTATCTCTTCCATGTTACTGCTTCCAGGGCCTTCAGAAAGAAGTCTCACAATCAATGAGGAAGAACTGGAGGGAAGTTTCAGAAAGTGGAACACTACAAATAAAGGCCCTGAAGACTTATTTAAACCAGAGGTGCTGTTTCCATCCATGATGTGGGGTTTCAGCAGGCCCTAAGAGCTCACCTTGAGCACAGGGGAGGATCTAGTTAGGTACCTGTCAGGTATAAATCTTGACAGATGACAGTTTAAGTCAATGGAGTTGGCCCTGGAGGCCTTGGGGAGCCCTGAGGGCAGCAAGGGGCTTAGGCACAGGCCTGTGCTCCACTTGGGAGGGACAGCATAGTGGATACAAGACTCTCAAAGGTAGGAATTTTCGTTTTAAATCCAGTTCCTTATTTCTTTTTGTCTTTCCTTTCTGCAATGTAGGCATAGACCAAAGGTGGTTGTTTGCTTTATTTACCGCTGTTCCTCCAGGGACTGCAATAATGCCTGGTACCCAGCAGAATTCAGCTAACATTTGTTGAATGAATGGGTGCATCTGTCTCGCTTAGATGGATAGCTGCAAGTTTTGAAGTGATACATTCCTATGTCACAGACGTCCCCTCTGGCTCCTATAACCAGCACACAGATTTTTCT